GGGGGGGGGGGGGGGGGGGGCAACAATTTGAATCGAAACGTTCCCAATTTGTTGCAAATCATTGCAAGTTAGAAGAGAACGAATCAAAATTGATATTCAAAATCCATTAAGATAGCGGCTGTTGTGGCAGTCGACGACAAACCGAAGCTTGTGTGCTTTTACGCAATTTTTGAAAAGAGAAATTGAAAAAAAAAAAAATGAATTTTTTTTTTCTTTTTTTCCTTTTTTTGGGAGAATAGAACATGATTGTTTGGGTCCAAATCACCAACCCAACTCGACCTGAATCGGGTTGGGTCAGGTTCGTTTCCATCAACAAATTGGGTCGTGTCAACTTCAAATTGGGCCAAACTTGACAAAGTCGGGTCCATAGGGCCCTGGCCCCCCAAACCAATGCACAGCCCTGAATGGATCAATGTATAACTTCAAATTTAGGCCCTGTTTGAATCATATTCTTTCAAAAAAAATACATTTTTGTGATTTGATATCATTTCAATATCACATTTTATAATAAAATAATATTACATGCAAATACAACATTTTTCTTATTTTTTAACCACACACTTCCTATCATTACACTCTTAAAAAATGCATACTTATGAAAATAATGTGGCTCAAACAAGGGCTTTTAATTGCATTTCGTGCAACCTCCCATAGAGACCATTACATCGAACAAGAAAGAAACTCCATCCCTCTTTTTTTATGTCCCAATATCACCACCAGAATCAGAAAGTAAACAGTACATACACTTTTTCGAAAGGAAATGAAAATCACAGCAACTTAAATATGGTTGTAGATCAAGTACTTGGAACACGTTCAAAATCATGTGAATAGTAGCAGCAAGCTAGAATGATTATGAAATTTTGTATTACAACTTCCTCCAAGACGTTAACAAAGACTTAATCACCCTAACTAAGCAGCAGCAGCAGCACCTCCAGTCTGATGCAGCATAGCATCTATCTCATCCCCATCCTCCATTTCAAGCTGTTAAAAGAATTTCCAAAAGTTAAGATGGGTTTCCTCAATTAGTATTTTAATATATTTTAAATTAAAAAAATAAAATTATAAATAGTGATGAATTTTGTGAATTTGAATCGATTTTTACAGAATTCACAATAATCTCATTAAAAATAGTGAAATTTCAAAAGAGTTCGTTATGTGTATTTCTAAGCTTGAAATCCATCCAAATCTCTTGAAATCCTTTCATTAATGAAATCTTTATAATCCACAAGTTATTGAGGACACCTATATTTTAGTGAATTTTAGAAGAATCCATTAAAATCTCAATGAATCGGTCGATAGTAATCATGAGATGGTTAGATGTTATAAATGATGAATAGCCTATATCAGCTATTTGTCTTAGATACAGACCCGGGGGGCTGGCGGAGGAGGTTCTTTTGGGGGGTGTGTGTGTGTGTGTGTGTGTGTGAAAGAGAGAGGGATTGGAGGACATTGAGAGAAAGAAGACCTCATCAGGAGTCTGCTCTGCACGGAGGCGACGCCCATCGAAGAGAAAGGCAATTGAGTTGAAATCAACCGATTGTCGTTCACAGTAAGCATTCATCAGCTTCTTTAGCTGTGTGCTTCTCTTAATCCTGAAAAGTACTTCATTTCCGTCCTGCATTAAGCTTCTTTATTGAGTTAGTAATGCTGGAAAAATCAATAGGGCCATAATAGTAAACGACAATATTCATACCAATAAGTAGGCAGTACATCATTCGAACATGATAGGAAAATATACAGCTTGTGAACATCAAAGAATCCATTCTAATGAAATCAAATATTGGCTATGAAAGAAAACTTCACACTTTTCCTGAATAATTGATAGATTAATCATGAAAATAGAGCATCCTCTGCTATGTATAATTATTATGAAACTTATTTACTTAAAAGTAAAAATGTTAAGCTTAGCCAAACATGCTCTTAATGTAGAGTCAGTCACTCAGGGAATAAGTCCAGCCAGGACCCGTGCTTCTGCTAAGCATCGGTAGACTTGAAAAATTATAACATGTGGAGAGAGATAATGGTTAGTTCCAAAATTGATTATACTGGTGCCAAGTTACCCAATGCTTAGCGTAGCATAAATTAAGTATAGGTGATCAGAAGATCAATTCCATAAGTCCAGCAATTCTACTTCTGCCAACACAGCAAGAGTAACAAAAGTAGTTAAAAACAAAAGGCGCTGTGAAAAATGAAAACAGCGTGGAATTCAAATCCTTCTCTATGCAAATCAATCATGTTCAGAAAAAATCAGAAAATCAAACCCACAAATACTGAAGAAAAACTCCTCCAAATCGATTAATGAAATTCAATAATATAAAATCCAGTAAAAAAAATTAGAACAATAATTAAATTAAAGAGTAAAAAGGATTAAAATTTGAGAGAAACCTGGCCTTTGACTTTGAGATTGATGTGAACCGACGGATCACCGGGCTTCTTGTCTTCCTCTTGACCGGGAGTTGACATTTTCACCGTCGCCGACGATTCGCCGTTCGAAAAGAAAAATTCGTGCCCGCTTGATTGACCTTTGCCGAGGAATTAATGTCGATTTTTAAAAGACGCAGAGATAAGTCAATGAGATAGTGCGGTGTAATGAGCGGTTTGGATTCGCTGATTCTAATCGCACGGGCCACACTATAAGAGTATGCTGAAATGACATTTAGACCCCGGTCGAAGAGCTTCCCTGTTTAGCAATTTTTCAAAACTCATTTTTTCTCTTCTTTCATTTTCATTTTACACTACATATTCTCGCAAAAAAAAACAACGTGCAAACTTAAATGCAAACTTAAAATTTTTCCATATTTTTTATCCACATTCTCAAAAAATTAGCTAGTCAAAAACTCAAAAGAATGGTTGTCAAACCGTCCTTGCCACCGTGGGAGATTTTTATCTCTCAATAAAAAATCAGACATTACGAGAAGATTGATTAATGAAATACGCTAATCCACCCCCTCTCAGTTGGCATATTTTGATTTGTGGAAAAACTATTTTCCTTTTTAAACGAGCCAATGACTTTATGCCATGTGTTTATCTATAAAGTAAGGTGTAAAAAATTTTTATACAGGTAATATGATTGTTACCACACGGTATTAGTTAATGAATGTTCATGTTTTCAAAACACAGAAATTATTGCAATTTTGTCTCTCGTTAACATAAAGAAATATATGTTTTTGCGAAAAAGTAAATAAAGATATGAAGCAATTGAAATTCAATGGCAGACCAAATGCTAGAATAAGTTACATAAGCCATCATTCATATATTAGTAACAGCATGCTGGATTACAATTCCTACCGAAGCCTTTATTAAGAAAATTAATCCTTCACTAAGCAGGGGCACCTCCATTCTGGTATACCATAGCATCTATCACATCTTCATCCTCCATTTCCAGCTGTTAAATGAAATCTTAAGTTGACGATTCATCAAGTTCTACCTAAAACTGTGCATGAGCGGAATATTCAAAGGGTCCGTTTGTGAGGCCTTTCGTTTTTGTTTCTAATTCTCGTAGAAGAGTTTTCTAAAAAAGTTATCTTATAAAACTTCTTTTGAAGTCTTCAGAAGCAGTTTTAACTTTCAAAAGTCCTGTCAAACGAACCCTAAATATGTATTCCCTCTCCAATTCAAGCTCCGATCACTCATTTATGAATAAATAAATAAATAAATAAACCTCATCAGGAGTCTGCGACCCACTAATTCTACTGCCATCAAACAGAAACACGAAGGTGTCAAAATCGGTAGCTAGTTTGTCACAGTAACCATCCATGAGCGACTGCAGTGGAGAGCTTCTCTTAATCCTAAATAATACTTCATTCCCAACCTACATAAAGTGGCTATATAAATATATGGGAAATATCTGTAAGCAAATATATGTCCAAGCTTTTGTAAATCTAACACAAAAATAAACGAATAATAATTAAAAATTAACAATAAAGAATGGGTACCTGGTTCTGGACTCTGAGACTGATGAAAGACGAGTATAACTGTGGCTTCTTATCTTCTTCTTGATTGGGAGTCGACATTTTCAACTTGGCCAAATAAGGGCCGCTGCATCATTTAAGTAAAGGTTTCATGGCCAGTCGACTAGCCTCCGATGACGAATTTGTAGAGTCTCTAATGAGTAATGACCTTTGGTGGCGTACATGAATACAGTAAGCTTAAAGTTTGGGAAATACAATGTGCAGAGATTATAGCTTTTTCGAACTCAAAAGGATAATTAGCAAAAAGCATCCCTATTGTTTGTACTTATTGTGAAAATGATCCCTATCGTATCAAAATTGGCATTTACACCCTCATTTCAAACATTTTTTACTAAATTGGTCCTTTCCATTAAATTCTTCCGTTAAATATGTGTAATTTGATGCAAAACATCTCTATCGTTTGCTTTCATTGCGCAAATAGTCCCTCTTGTTTCAATTTTGAAATTTGAACACTTGGATCGACCTTTCTTTACTTAATATGTTCTCGTCATCTATATTCTCTATTACAATATTGTAAAATGACTAATTTATCATCATCTTTAAGCCCTCGTTTGAGCCCCATTTTGCGGAAAAATGAATTTTGGAATATTGTATTAATGTGAAATGTATGGTTAAAAAATAAGGAAAATTTTTGAATTTACATGTAATATTATTTTATTAAAAAAATATGTGGTTGAAATGATATCAAAACACTGTTTAAAAATATATTTTTGTAAAAAGAAAATAATATAAAATAATTGCAGCTAGACTTTCTTGTTTTTTTTTTTTAAGTACAAATAAGTCTCACGTAAATTAGTTTAAAATATTCTAATAAAAGAAAAATACTTTATCTTCTCAATTAACTCACTTACCCCTATGTCCATCCCCCCACACTCCACCACCACCACAAAATAAATTAAAAAGATAATTAAAAGTATAATAAAAGTGAAAAAAAGAATTAAAAATAGAAAAACAAAAAAAAATATAAAAACAAAATGATGCTTATTCCTGATCAAATATTTTTTTATACTTTTAATTCTCTTTTTAGTAATTTTGGTGGTGGTGGTGGTGGTGGTGGAGGATATGCGTAGCGTAGGTAGGTTAATTGGAAAAATAAAATATTTTTCTTTTATTCGAATATTTTAAATTGTTTTATGTGAAATTTAGTTGTAATTTGAAAAAAAAAAATAGAAACTTTAAATACAATTTTTTATATTATTTCTTTTTTCCTATTTATTTATTTAAAAATGATGATAAATTAGTCATTTTATAATGTTATAGTCGAGAAATATATAATAAGGACCTTTCAAGCAAAGAAATATCGATTTGAGTGTCCAAATGTGAAAATTATAATGATAGGGACTATTTGAGCAATTAAAGCAAACGATAGAGATGTTTTGCGTCAAGTTACACATATTTAACGGAATATTTAACGAAATATGATGAAAATAACCAATTCTACAAGAAAGGTTTGAAATGAGGGTGTATATGGTAAGTTTGAAACTATTAGGACCATTTTTGCAATGAGTACAAACTATAGTGATTTTTTGCTAATTATCCAACTCAAAAATTAATTAATAACATTTATAATTAGTTAGGGAAAGTTACGTAGAGGTTAACAATGAATTTTATTACTCCATCTATCCAATAAAAATATGTTTATTTCTATTTTCACACATATTAAGAGAATGTAATTATGGTTAAATCCATTAATTGTTATCCAACTTCACACTTAGGGTGTGTTTGATTATATTTATTTTCTATGGAAAATATCAGTTTTCCATCCAAATTTCTACTTAGAGTATTTGATTGCTATTTTTTCCATTGAAAACATTTTTCAACTTTTGAAAATATACATAATTTTCCTTGTTTTTAAGAAAAACGTTTTCCTTGGGTAGAGGTGGTTTTTATTTTCCACAAAAAATGAAAAACATTTTCCTTTTTAGATGATATTTTTCATGTCAATCAAACACACTCTTAGTGTAACCATAACTCATCAATTTGATTTTATTTCACCATGGTCACCCAATTTCATATAACGTTTCACAATGGACAACCAATTTCTTCTCGCCATTGTCACTAATTTTAAAAGGGGTAAAACGACAATTTTGCATTATATGTATAAAAAATAAATATTTAATTTAAAAATGAAATAATATAAAAGCTTATCTAAAAAAAAAATTACTTAAAAATAAAATAAAATAAAAAATTATTTAAAAAATCTTAAATAAAATAAAAACTTTTTTTTCAAAAAAAAATTGACTAAGAAAAATAAAAATAAAATAAAAAATTTATTTTAAAAACCGTTCCTTAAAAAATATAATAAAAACTAATTTAAAAAACGTTTTAAAAATAAAATAAAGAATTATTTTTAAAAAAGTTACTTAGAAGAATAAAATAAAATAAAAACTTATTTTAAAAAAAAGTTTTTTAAATAAATTTTTTTTTTGTAAATATGTTTTATATATATAATACAAGATTATCATTTTATTCCTTGTAAAATTAGTGAATAGGGTGAAAAAATTAGGTTCCATGTTAAAACAAAATCAAATTAGGTGACCATAGTGATACTAAGTATAAATTTGGGTGATCATGCTGTCACTAAACATAAAGTTGGGTGATCATTGTTGGGTTTTACCCATATAATTAACATTATTGGAAATATAAATTAAGGGTATATTTTTTCTAATGCACCCCTATATTAAATAATGGTTTAAATTTGATTTGTTGATAGAAAGATATATGAAATAGAAACATATTAGAAAATTAAAATATATTTTTTTTAATATGAAAATGGTATATAATTTGGAACAGACTAAAAAAGAAACAAAATATATCTTTATAGGATGAAGAGAGTATTATGCCAAAGACGAATTTTAGCATGTGTTCGAGTTACAATTTTTTTAATATATATTTTGTTAAAAGTGCTTTTTTTTATGTGTGGTTGAAAAAGCAAGGGCAGAGCCAAAAGTTGAAAAATATTTGTATACTTATTGATACATAATTTGTTTTTCACCTTCAAAAAATGAATTGTGCCTGGGTTAAAGCTCAGGCCTCCCCATTCCTTCCCGCCTGCGAAAAAAATACATAAAAGTTTCGAGTTAATGTGCAAGGTTCATTTTTTGAAAGAATGTATGGTTGTAAATAAATTTGGAGAAAAATATATTTTAAAGAATTGAAATCGAATGTAGGTTATGTTTCCTTTTTCTATTATTGTCTACTAGCATATAAATCAATGTAGTACATTAATACAAGAGATATCTTTCCACTCTTTTTATGCCAACCTTCCCACAACATACACGCGACTCTAAGGTTATCGTGGCAACTCAAGCTATGATTCGAAGTTCATGACATCAATGATTCAATCATTCTCCCTATGATTTCTCTTGCACTGGCCCTTCTAACGGGTTTCAAAGAGAGAAATTATTTATTGACCCATAAATTGTCATTTGTAATAATTTAATCAATCTTTCTCATATGAATTCCTCCTCAGATCAACCCGGATCCCCGTCTTTTTCAGTGCACTCACTTTATATCTTCATCGTACAGGGAAGGAAGCCATCCTACCCTCTGTCGGTTGATCATTCCTTCCCTATCTCTTACGGTAATGTTTCCTTTAGTATCAATACTTTTATCATTATAACATCGTACATAGATCAAATCATTACGTGAATGCCATGGCCATCCGGCTAAGTTGCTAATAAAAGGGAGTCACAACCATCAAGTCCTATCTTTTGACCTATCGTTTCTGTGTGAATTTCATAATGTATGGAAATATCCTTTTGAGTTTTGAAGCTGCAAGAGTCAAGAAAAAATGACGCACCCCAATTGCCACCTTATTAATTGTGACATCTCTCACTCCTTTCGTGATAGATGTCCATCATATTATTGTTATATGATTACAGTGGCGGACCCAGGATTTTGAATCAGCACGGACGGTTGTTGATCGTCAACTGTCGATTGTAATAAAATATTAAGAGCCCGTTTGATGTCATTTTCTTAGCAAAATAATGCATTTTAAAATAGTGATTTGATAGAGAATGTGTAGTTAAAAATAAATGAAAGTTTTGAATTTGCGTATAATATTCTTTTATTAAAAAAATGTATGATTAAAAGTAAGATAGATAAAAATGTATTTTGAAATAAATGAGAATCAAACAAGGCCTAAAATTTAAATATAATAATTATTTTGTTTAAATTGAACATATATAATTTTATTATAAGAATAAATTGTATTCATCAAATAGCATTGTTATCAAGTTTCGTATAATTTAAATGAAGAGTACAGGTTTGGATGATTGTAATTGCATTAAAATTAGATGTGACATATAATATTTTGTTAAACTTAGACCCAAAAAAGAGCTATTGCCATGATGGTTAAGCTTGCAATCATTTTAGCACAAGGTCTCAAGTTCAAATCTCTTTTGGCGCTGAATTAATTTTGGTAAAAATAAAGATTCTAGAACTAAAAATATTGCAAAATAACTCGGTTGCCAAAAGATTCAAACTCGAGACCTGCATCATGTACATGCACGGTCTAAACCAACTTAGCCAACAGGCATGATTGAAACAAAGACGAATTACTAGTAATAAAACCTAAAATGCTGATTGTTGTCAACCTAAAAAAAAAAAAAAAAAGAGCTGCTGGTGGATCCAGCACGTGCGGCCGCGGGAGCTCGCTAGGTTCTGGATCCGTCAGTGTATGATTATATAGATGAAATGATCCAAATAGCATTGTAGAGAACAAATATTTTGAATTTAATTAAAATTATATTTGTCAAAGATTTGCTGTGAAATAGAGATGGATTGAAAATAACATAAAAATAGTTCAGTTTGATGTACTAAAGCATGAGTATCCAAAATCAAGAGATACGTCAAAGTTCAAACCACCAACCTGGGTATCGCTGATGCAGGCTAAGTTCAAGAATAATAGCCACAGACTCTTTTGTATCGTTGAGGCAATAGTGATTATCAAAATATCGTATAATTCTCCAACCAAAGTTGGCAATAATATTCGTGGAGAGTTCGTTTGTATTGTATCGAAAGTGTAATTATTGTATTCTTCTATTAGAAAATAATTATTTCTTATATAGTAATTATAGTGCAATTGAAAATTTTTAATCTTTTTATTTTATTTTAACACAGCGTTCAATTAGGGGCGAATCCAA